TTCAAAAAGATTCTTTGGTTATGCTTAAAACTTATCACAAGTCAACTGGTATTGCCAGTTCTTAATAGCCATATTTTGCTCGTATTTGTTGCGGACAGTGTCCATGAGTTCCGCAACAGTTGCCTCATCTCCATTTGCTGTTGCTCCGTCGCCGCAGCCATCTCTTGCTCTACCTCCTGTTCCAATTCCGGTAACTCGGGCAATGTTTGTAGCCTTGTTACCCGCTGATGGATCATCGTACGGTTGCAACTGTCTTGGACGTCGCATCCGGTTACTCGGTGCTGGTTCTCGCACTCGCTCTCGTTCTCGCTCTTGTTTCGCTGTCCGACCACCTTTGCGCCAAGACTCGACATTGGCCACGCTCGTGCCAGTCCCATGCTGGGCCTTGCGTCCAAAGATGGTCGTCCAACGAAACCACTTTTGTCATAAACCATAAGAAGGCTCTCCTGATGAGATGCGTCTGCTGAGCGGCAACTCGCGCCGCAGCAGATAGACACACAAGCCGAGGCAGCCAAGGAGAAGGCACACCAGTCCCAGCATGGCATAAAATCCTTGGCGATAGCGTGCCGCATCTGCACTGGCCTCCAAGAGCTTTACACGCTGTGTCAAGACACCGCCGCTGCCATCGCGGAGTTCACCATCCTGAGTGGAAGGCAATAGCACCTGCCAAAAGCCATAAACGCGTCGCAAGTGATTGCCGTAACCGGAATCTAGCTGGTTGTTGGTCACATACGAGTTGACATTGCCCTGCCGATAGTTGTCATGTCGGTTTGTCCTGGACAAGCTGCGATCTGTGCCGATCCCGATTTGCTGTTTACCGCTTAGTAGATCTTCAATGGCGGCCTCATCCTCGCTGGTTGGCAGCTCTAAGCTCTTGGTCCGCTCACCCAGGGCATAGATAAAGGGACGTTGCTGTGTGTACGGCTGCCAGGCATCGTAAATGCGTCCGGGTGTGGGATTACCGCCTTTGACAAAGTTGGCAAAGGAGTCGCGCAGCTTGCGGCACAGCTGCTCCTCCTCGGCACTAAAACGGCGACGCGCAATCTGCTGGAATAAGCTAGGACCGAGCAGGAGCGGCAGGTCGGCGCTGTGCGAGGCACCGCCAAACAGATTCTGTCTGCCGCGCATGTCCATCGCATGGGCATGGGACTGGTCGAAGACATAGGCATAGCCGACGCTGCTGCTATTGTTGAGTAGCTGCAGCAGGCGCAGGAAGGGCGTCTCATAGAGCGCCTCGGACAGCAGCCGCTGCATGCCCCACAGCAGCTGAGTGACCGAGGCATCGTCGCTATAGTAACGCCAACGAATGGCTGCCAGTTGAGTGTCGCTCGCACCCGCCTCCAGGTGTGGATTCATAGAGCGAAGGACATTTGGCAGCAGCGTTGCATTGATATAGCTGTGCAGGGCCTGCTGGCCATCGCGTGCCACATCCAGCCAGTAATCCTGCATGAAGGCGCCCTCATTGGAGCCAATGCCCAGAAGCATAGGTGGCAGAGACACATTAGCCAAGCGCTGTTCCAAATCATCAGAATGGGGCAGCTGAACGCCTAGCTGCATGCTGGCATTGCCGTGATTATAAACGCTTTCATAGGCACGCAGTAAATCCTCGGAGCTCTTGCGGCGTAGGCAGCTCAGCAGCTGACGGTGCTGGGCCTCTTCAAACTGACAGCCGAGCTTATGTACGAGAGTGCGACCCGTGGCCACAATGCGTTCCTGATGGCCAGCACCCAAGGCGTACAGCACTGGCCCCGGGGACATCAGAATCAGTTGCTTGAACAACGAAGCACCATCAGGAGCAGGCTGTAAAGCGATGGCTAATGCCAAAGTAGCTCCGCTACCATGGCCGAGCAGCGTTAATTGATCGGCATTGGCTCCAAAGCTGACCGCATTGCGTTGTAGCCAACGCAGCGCCATTTGAACATCACTCAATCCATAGTTGCCCGGCAGCTGGCGATGATCCTGACCCAGTCCCAACCACCCATAAATATTGTTGCGATACTGCACGCTGACCACAACAATGCCCTCGGCGGCGGCGAAATCCATGCCGTTTATGCGATTACGCGGCCAGTCATAGGCGAAATCCTCTCCGCTAATTATGACCAGCATTGGCAATTTTCCATAGCGCAAGCCCGACTCAGGTGTCCAGATGTTTAGATAGAGACAGTCCTCGCTGTTGCTTGCAGCACGAGATATGCTGCCATCGGCGCTCTCGTCATAAATCGTATTTGATAATTGCGGACAAATGGGCTGCATCGCTGTGGCTTGAAGCGTCCGGTTCCACCCATTATGCGACTTGGCGGGCTAAATGAAAGAGCAATATTTGAAATTTTAGAGATTATAGTTATTGTTGATCGATATCGATTATTCTACTTAACAGTCTGTTAAAGGATCTGCTGCAATTACATACGATATCACTGTTAAAATACAGTTAGTGCCATAAGTTTCACCTACCGCAAATCGTAGCGATCCCAAAGCCGGCTGTGCATAGGGTATTCCCAGAAATGCATAGACAGCACTCCGTGCTCCGTCTGGAAAAACTTTCAGCTGAAAGAGAAGTAAAAGTTCAACTACATACATATGTACATATTCGAATATTAATTGAATACTCACACCAATCAGATCGCCCTGCTCCAGTTTAATATGCGTCTGTTGGGCCCCGCAGCCCCACAAGCTGAGCCAAGTAAACAGCAGCCAATGGAAAAGTCGAAATAGTTGCATCTTTGGAAGGCCTCTCTCACTCTCTAACACATATTAGGAAGCATTTACTCTTGGACTATTTTTGCGGAATTTTGCTGATTTTTTTCCGAATTTTTTTTCTCCGCTGCAATTTTCCAAATAGACTCCTTGACGGTGTAACGAAAACTAAAAAAAAATAAAAGTATTGTACCCGTTGTTGGCAAACGTTGGCTAAAAGTTTATGCTAGAATTATTTCAATTGTTTTCTGGTGTCATTATTGTTAATGCGGTTGCTCTGCTCTGCTCGGGAATCATTCATGCATTCAGGAGATCAACACAGCCAGCGACACCACAACGCCAAACAACAGGTAGGTTTACAGGGTTGATTGTTGTCCAAATACATGAATACATGTACATGTGTGGATAGCACATGTATGTGTGTATTTGGTGAATTATGTGTTGTTATAGGCTTTAGCCAGGGCAACTCCCATGCAGAATGGAACTGAAGCCCATAACTTTGAACTCAAAACAACATCAATTGTTAAATGTTCTCCCATTGGAGTGTGTTTTGTAAAATTATCACGGGTGGGTTACTTCCAAACTTTCGCAATATACATATATATATTTAAGTATATAAGAAAAGAAATGAATATACTACTTCAAGAGTCATGTCACATTATAACAGCGAGTCATCAAGAAACCGCTGGATATGATGTGTGTATAGCGATGACTATAAACATAAAAACATATAAAAATATATATAAATAAATGGAGCAATGTATATGTATGTATATATTATATTCCCATCAGTAAATTAGAATGATAATTCCTGTTGCTCGCACCCTGTGTCTAAGGAACTTACAGAATTTCATTAATATTAACAATTTAACATTGAAAAATAAAATATAGATTGATAACATTCCAAAAACTATTATGCATATAGGAAATATAATATATGTATGTATGTATGAACAATATATCTAATATTTACCTATATATATTTCGGATATTCCTTTGTTAGTCTGCTATCACAATTTCCAACTTTTCTGGCAGCCCTCGTTGTGATTATATTGTTTTTTATAAATTTTAAAATTTTTTATTGAGTTTTAATTTGACTGCTGCTGCCGCTGCCGTCGCTGCTGCTGCTGCCGTGCAGAATATAAATATTCGTACGCTTCACAGACTGCGACAGAGAGAGAGAAAGAGAGAGAGAGAGAACTTTACGTCTATGTTTGTTGTTAAATGGAGCTATCGGAGCTTTGGGCTTGCAGCAGATAATGTACCATAATGTTGGCTTAATTCCGGACCAATGTGAACAGCAGCTGCTGCTCTCTCACTCTGGTGGTGGATTTTTGTCTTCTTCTTCTTTTTTGCTGGCTCTGTTAGTCGAAGCGCAGTTCCGGTCAACGTCGGAGTTGGAGATCGACAGCGCTGGGTCATAATTAACATCTATGTTGTCATAGCAACTTGTGCTTCCATTGGCTCACGCACAGTTATGCATTTAATTAGTTTTTTTTTTCGAGATCAATTTCCAGACGCGGCGTGAAAACACGAAGCAGAGCAGAGGCTGCCAGAGCAGAAGCTATTTTTCGTTAATTTAAATTGCCATTTGCTTCAGTTTGCCTCGCTCTACAACTCTTCTCTCTCTCTGGCTGTCTCTCTCACTCCCTCTCTCTATCTCTTTCGCTGTCGCCTAATCAATTTATGACTGTTAAACGTTGGCATAGCTTTCGATTATTTTAAATTGCATTGATGGCCTCGCTTGGTCAATGGGTCAGTCTCTCTGTGGGCTACGGGCTATTTATTACTATGAATTAAAAAACACACGCAAAATGTTGTTGAAGAAAGAACATAGGTAACATGTACACACACACTCGCATACGCCCTCAATTAATCTTTAATTCACACAGTTTTGTTTGACTAAATATTCGAGAGCCATTTGAATTGGCCAAAATCAAATAAAGTTGGCCAGATTGTTCATTTCGTTTGGCAGCAAAAGCTGCTGTTGTCGTTGCTGTGACATTTGGGCCTTATCCGCCGAAACTTGTTCAATAAATTCGTCATAAAAACGTTTGACACAAACTTGGCCAAAACACTTGAAGCACTAGAAAGCTAGGCAACAACAACAACAACAACCAACAAAATGAAATGTGCCAATGCAAATATAAGGAAGTGAACAATATTTTTTGGCAACAGCAACAAAACTTTCGAGCCGAAATTATTTATATTTGTTTGAATGGGAGGCTGCACACAAAGTTTTTGGCTAATGAAAATGTATATGATATTTGACAGAGTCTCAGAATCAGAGACTGTTTGCATATTGGCAACTTCTTTATTCAATTTCAGTTCAATAAAAGCCAATTGTCGACTCTTATTAGACATCCCAGCCATATTTTGTAGAGACGATAAACAAAATCCAAAGCATTTTAGCCAGGCAGCGGGGTAAGCCAAGCAAGGGTTTGTGCTTGACTGAGCTCTGCCTCTCCCCTCTCTCTCTCTCTCTCTCTCTCACTATCTATCCCTCTTAGCATACTCGTAATTCAATTTTGATTTAGATTTTTCAACAATGCATAGCATTCATTTTGTTGTGCTTATAGTTATTTATTTTGCATGCTCCTCCTCTTCATCTTCCTCCTGCTATGCATACTTGACGTGCAGCAAAGTGAAAATATTTTGTGCTGCTTTAGATTTTACACACAGGCATATTCTTATTGCTGGCTTTGCCAACAATTTGTCAACACTTCGAAACAATTTACAGTTGTGGCTGCTGCTCATGAAACTCTTCGAATGCAGTGCGACAGGCCAGGGACATGTCATGGGTGAGTCTATACATATGTATGTATATATGTACATATGTATGCGTGCCTTGTCCTTTGTTTTAATTTATTTTTGCGTTCTCTTACAATGTTCATAATGTGAAATTCCATTGAATGTTAATTAATTTCATAGTTTTTGGCAATTTTTAATTGGCTGTTTAGTGCATGTTTAGTGTTGCTTATGAGTCAGACCCCCGAGCAGTAATGCCAATTGCAGTTGTGGTACCAGCAACGGGAATTATTTCAGTTGTTCAGTGCCCACATCAGCAACAATGCAGCATAATATAATTATGTAATTAGCTGGAGCAACAGCAGTGCCAGCAAATTTCTGAGAGAATGTTTAACAAAACAATGGCCAAAAAGTTGAAGTGCTTGTTGTTGTTGCTGCTGCTTTAAGCCAAATTGTGGCAGACATTTTGTTTATGCAGCTAAACCCTACACAGCCTGCACTTAACCAGCTTGTATGCCGACACACACACATGTACATGCATACATATGTAAGCGGCGTGGCTGTGTGCTTGTTTTACACGTGCTCTTTATAATTAATGCTAACAAATTTTGCGTTGAAAAGGAACTGAAAACATAAGCGACTCACTCGCGAAGCCCACTTTAGAGCCAGTAGCATTCCAGTTGGCTTAGCAGAGATGCAGCAGCAGGCGGTAGCAGGGGGCAGGGGGCAGGGGGCAGGGGGCAGGGGGCAGGGGGCAAATGGCTCTGTGAATCAGTTCTCCAACCATTTTGTTGGCCTACTCAGCTAGCCACAGAAATAAGCTAACAAAAATGAAGCATATGCAGAAAAGCAGCAGCAGCTGCTGCGCGTCCTTGGCAATGTCAGCTGCATCAGGCAGCCACCAAACGACAGAGGGCGCCACTGTGCACAGGCAATAGTTGCGTTTAATAATAGAATAATATGTATTTCTGTATAGAAATATTCCAAGTAAATGTTTTTAATTTATATATTAATCATACGTATATATATATATAAAATAATATTTGTGATAATTTTAAATGCTTGATCCAACAGCCCGCATTGAGCAATGCATGCGGGGGCGCGTAATCGAACCATTTTAGACCTCTGGGCCTGAGTCAGTTGCAATCACGCGGTCAGATGCTGTGTATAAAACGGCTGGGATTCTGTGAGGCAAACAGCAGTCGCAGTTGAACCCAAGAGCTGCAGCAAGATGAGAGTTTTATTGGTGATTGGATGCCTAGTGGTGATTGCTGGCTGCACGCTGGGCCGAGCAACCTTCGCCGAAGATCAACTGGAAACGGAGTGGAACTCCTATAAGAGCGAGTTTGGCAAGATCTACGATGAGTCGGAGGAGTGGTTGCGCAAGCTGATCTTCCGGGATAATAAGAAAATCATCGATGCACACAACGAACGCTGGGCCGCAGGAGATGAGAGCTACGAGATGGGTCTGAATCAGTTCTCAGACATGTTGCCAAAGGAGATCAGCGAAAGGCTGGGAACAGATGCTGAAATAGGCTTGGATGAAGATGTGGAAGTGGATATGGAGTCCTATGATTGGAGCGATTATGGAGACTTTAAGATGGTACCCTCGGTAAACTGGACCCATATGGGTGCAGTTACGCCCGTCGCGTTTCAGGGACACTTCAACAGCTCCTGGGCCTTTGCCGCAGCTGGCGTGACGGAGAGCCGTCAGTTCCTTAAGTCCGGAAAACTTCCAGTGCTCTCCAAGCAAAACCTTGTCGACTGTTGCAGGGGCAATGACAATATGGTTCCACGAGCTCTGGTGTGCATTAAGAAGTTGGGCGGCATTGACACGGAGGAATCGTACCCCTACCGTGGACTGACTGGCAAGTGCTCCTTCAAGAGGAAGTATGTTGGTGCCCGAATCGACAAGATTTTCAGAGTGAATCCGGGAAACGAACAAGCTTTGGCCCGCAGCGTGACCCGGGGTCCGATTGCCGCTGTCATTTCATTCACAGGGCTTATGCACTACAAGAGCGGTGTCTACAACGATCCCCACTGTGGAGAAAAGAGCAATTATGCTGTGCTCATCGTGGGCTACGGCCATTGCAAGCACTTCGGAGACTATTGGATCCTCAAGACTTCTCTGGGCCCTCACTGGGGAGAGAATGGCTACTTGAGGCTGGCACGCAACAAGAACAATCTCTGCGGCATTGCCAACAATGCCCTCTATCCAGAAGTGGTTTAGCTACTTAACAAAGTGCATTCGCATTGTGGAGTCATTCAATAATTTGCTTTATTTATTACTCGTCTGAATGTTAAACTCCAATAAATTATTAAATTAATATGCCCATAAATAAACCAAATTGAATTGTAATTATTGCAAATTGGGCTACTAAAAAATATCTAATTTATGCCTATTAACAACATGAAGACATCGTCTTCAAGCTTCTCTTCAACTACTCAGGTTTGCGATTCCTCCTTTGCCATGTCAAAGGTCTAATTAATATTCGCAAAGTGTATGCATATTTGGTTGCCATGTGTAATTAGCTGCATGTCGTGAATGCATTTAAAATGCATGTGCAAATTGATATGCTTCTCTGCAGGCGCCATTTAATGTTATTAATGAAGTTCATTGCATGTCATGCCCTCTCGCTCCAGCTCGTTCGCTGCATGGGTAGACCACAAAATTTTATTGCATGCTTTTAGGCGCCGCCATTTTGCCAGTGTCGCAGCGGCAGAGACAGAGGCAGAGAAGCAGCCGCAGCAATGCAATTTATTAATTTGCAGGTGCAGAAATTGTTGGGCAAAAAGTTTCAGCTGTTTATTTATGTACTTGAATGTACATGTGTGTGTGTGTGCATGCGTACATGTGTACTTACATTGGGCATGTCTGGCAACTGCTTGAAAAACAATTTTGTGTCGAGTAGGGGTGAGGGGGGAGGACATGTTTTGTAGCTCCAAACTTTGCTAATTCCTTTCACAAACTTTTTCTAAGGTGTTGAGTTTGTCATCTAGTTGTTGCTGTTGTTGTTGTTGTTGTTGTTGGCATTGTTTACCCGAATGTATTTGCTATGCGTGTAAGGGAATAAAATTGCATTGAAAGTCTCATTTTCATTTAATTTTTATTCAAAAATCACATTTTTGTTTATTTATTTTTTGTTTTGTTTTGTTGTTTTTGTTTTCGTTTGCTGTTTCGGCGCGAGCTGCTGTTCAATAATATAATATTAATTATCATTTTATATTTATATGTTATGCTTACTAGATTGAAGTTTCCGTTTATGTAATTTACATTTTGTTTATGTTTCTGCTCTGTTTTGTTTTTATGTATATATATTGTTTTTTTGTTTTGTTTTTCTTATTTTTTTCTTCTAGTATGACTTTCCACTGTATTTCTCTGTTTTGCCTTAAGCTTTAACAACTTTTAACTATGCAATAAGCACATCCACATTAAATACTCTTTTTCTTTCTTTCTTTTAGCAGCTGAACATTTATTACAAGTATTTCAAATGTGTGTGTGTGAGTGTGTATATACAAAAGTTGCATTAATTAAAAGTAAATATTAAATTCAATAAAAGCTGCATATTTTCAATGGAGATTCGTCACCTCAAATTGCAGATGCATTCAGGGCAATATGAAATTACAAAAAATGAGAAAGCAAAATGAGAAAAAATTGTCAAATTGTAATTAAATCAATTTTTACAAGTGACGCAAACATGTTGTGTGCACAAAACTTAATTGAAGCTGCACAATGAATGGCCAAGTGAATAGGTTCAATTGAGGCCAAGAAATGTGAATAATTCCCTTATTATGCATTCTTTGCACTGGGAAATAAATCGTTTGCAAAGCATTGGATTTTATGCATGCTCAAGTTATTGTCTGCTGTTAAGCCTCTCTTTCTCTCTCTCTCTCTATCCCTTTCTCTGTTGTTCTGCCTTTAATAAGCCCTAATAAATTAAATAGGTAAATATTTTTTTTGTACACCTTTTTAACCCTATTTAACCAAAAATACAATTAAATACTTATATAAAAAAATATATATATTTATATACATCAGAAAATATTTTAAAAATATATTTCTTTTTTATAGCAATCCGATTATGGACTCTTAATGAAATACAACTAAAATAAAAAAATATTTTAAAAATATAAATATATTTTCTTTTTTACTTTTTAGCAAACCGATTATAAACTCTTAATGAACTAAAAGTAAAAATATAGATTTTTTCCAATGAATAAATATAATATATAATATAATATATATAATAAATATATATAAATAAGAGCAATTACTTATTTTTATCGCATTAAATAAAAAAGTTTCTTTCAGATCGAAATGCAAAAATTGAATGCCAAAACAATTTTAGCAAAAATAAATATTTTTTCCAAAGTAAATATTACTTCAACTTGTTTGATCCAGGTTGGCATAAGTGAACCTATTCACATGTGCATTATTGTGCATGTGTTTATAAAAAAAAAAAAATAAAATTATATATATTTTTATTGAATGTTTTTTCTCTTCGTTAAACGCAGGCGCTGATTCAATTTAAATCTGAAAATACAGATAGCCACAAAAAAAAAAAAAAAAATGGAGAGAATGGAATAAAAAATTGAAAAGCTTTTTGCATCTGTTAAATGTGGCAAAATAATTGATTATGCTCAATTATCTTTAAAATGCGAAAAGAGAGAACAAAAAGGAGAGAACTGAAATTATGTACACTTTACGAATATACGAGGAGTATTTGCTATATGCTATGCCATGTTGTTGTTGTTGTTGCTGCTGCGGGTTGTAGTAATTTACTATGTCAATTGTATCACAACATTTAAATTTCGCATTTAATTTACTTCTTCTTCGTATAATTTTTTTAATGGTATTCAATATTGATTAAGATTGTTTTCTTTTTGTTTTTATAGTAGCTGCGTATGTAATAATTTTGTATGAGTATTATTTTTTTTTTCTTGTAGTTTTTTCTTTATTTATTTATATTTTTTTTTGGCTTTTCAACAATTTTTCGTGTGTTTCGTTTGTATGTTGTGTAAATGTTGGATTGTAGAGTTGTTTTGCTGTTGGTCAATTTGTTGGTTGTTTGTTTTGTTTTGCTTTGTTTCATTTCGTTTTCAAACATTATTAGTTAAATATGTATAAAAAGTGACATAGTCTGTTGCTTGTTTGTGTCAAATACAAATGCACAAAATACGAGTATAATACAAATAGTTTTACACACAGATACAAAAAGTAAACACACTGTACAAAAGTGGAATAGAAATTTTCTGTTATATTTTCTATGTATGCTTGTTCCATTTATATAGTATGTATATTTCTCTCAATCTTTGTATGCAAGTGTGTGAGTGTGTGCGTGTTTGTGTGCATGTTGTCAGACGGGAATTTTTGATTATTATTTAGTCGTAAACGCAGAAAATATTTGAAATATTTGATTTATGTGCATGCTGATGTCTGATAGGGCGCATTCATTGCATTCGAGTCTGCCCAAGTCAGACATTTGGAATTTACATACAAGTTTAGCATATTGCATGCGTGTATTTCTCTCTCTCTCTCTCTCGCTCTCTCTCTGTCCCTATATATATATATATATATATTGTATTGCAGATAAGCATTTGGAATGATAAATGCTAAACAATTGGCATGGCAGTCCAGAGTCGAGGCAACGTTCCAACCAGATGCATAGCTCTTCAGTAAGTGTCTTCGCTTCACAGTCGCAATTCTGACTTTGTCGTTGCCAGCTAAATCCATTTGATATGTTCAGGCTAAACATTATTGCTACATTTTATTTATATTTCGCTTTTCATTTTATTTTCTTGCTGTTGTTGTTGTTGTTGCTACACTTTACGTAGTTAGTTGCGTGTGTTTTCTACTCTTATTGCCCTATGCACTTGGTTACCAAAAGAAATAACAAAATATATGAAAAGTAACCCAATGTTAAACCAAAATAAAAATTTTATAAAAATTAAACAGAATTTTTGTTGTATTTTTTTTTTTTCAATATTTTTCGTGTATATTTTTGTAAAAATATGTATATTTACGTAATATGTAATATAATTTTCTTGCTGTATATATTTTTTTTTCATTTTATTTTATTTTTGAACACATCTATTGTAAATTAAAATTAAATGTACAAAAGTAAGAAATCTGTCATATGTATGCATTTGATATGCGAGCGTATAGCTTATAGAATTGCATATGCATTATTCATATATATATACACATATATATATATATTATATAGACTATACATATGTATATTAAATGGCTGCCATAAAAGCTAAAGCTAAAGCCGAATTACACTCTTTATTTTAGATTTCTGTTGTTGTAAAAACACATTGTTGAAATGTAAAATGGAAATTGCACATTTAATATAATAGAGTCTAGAAGTAGTTGATTGCTAAGAAATAATTAGGAATACACAATTATACGAATGAAATGAAGACATTTACTAGTTTATATATAATTCATTTGATATCCTTGCAGCACTTGACTTGACTTGAGTACACAGAATTTACAAATTGATACATCTATCTGCAAGGGTATTTCATATTCGGCACACCGAATACACTTACTCTTACGCCTTCTCTATCTATCTCGCTTTCTGCTTTGTTTGTGCACATTGTACGATGGCTGTTGAGTTCGTAGTTCACTTGTAGCTTTCTTTTCTTTCCTTGTTTTGTATTGTTATTGCAAAATAATGGCCGCAGTTTTCAATAAATTTCTTCAATTATTATAGATAAGGAATATCTTTGCAAGCTTAAGCCTAATTAACTGCCATTGATTAGTTAAACATAAGAATGGCTACAGACACACACATCAATAATAATAACACTAACTAACTATACACATATAGACTTATGTATCATAGCGATTCCATATCATATCATATAATCATGTCGAGTTATAACAATTACAGTTCCTATGCGGCAGACATACATACATACATACATATACAAAAAACATTTACACACATACAAAAATCAAACGCGTACAAAATCAGCTACTTATGCACATATAAGGTATGTATATGTAATTATGTGTATATATATATCTATATATCGTATATATGTATATCGAAAATTTGCAGCGCTAATTTGAAATTAGCAAAAAATGGCATTCCGCTCGCTCACTGCGCCCAGGGCAGGTCGCACAACTTAACTAGGCCTAATCAGAGTTCTTCTATTTATGTACATATACAAATCTGCTGTGTGTGTGTGTGTGTGTGAGTGTATACAGTATGCATTATAAATATATATAATTGCAACGTTGAATGCTATTTTGTTACATATACATAAATATATATACGCTTCATAAATCCTAACTAATTTTTGCTACTAATAATAATTAACATAGTTTTTGCGGCGCTTCGCAGCGTCAATAAACAGCAGTTTATGAAGTCCGTATGTATGTGTGGGTGTTTGTTTGTGTTTGTGTTGGTGTGTACACGTGCGGGTAGGGAATCTCAGTACTCTTAACGCTTGTAGCTATTGCCAATTTGCATATACCGCTAGCTGCCAACCAACTCGATCTGGCGATACTTTTTACGCAAATTGGAGACTGGATCACGATATAGCATGGGATCCATGCGCAAGTTGGAACGTATGAGCGGCATGTAGCTGTGAACAGAAAGAGAAAGAAGACACGGAATGTATTAAACTGTTTAAGACATATATTAGATCTAAAATGGAAATTGTTAGATGAGTTAAGTTGAGCAATGAGAAGATCTATTCACTTTAGCCAGATGACGATTCTACTCACCCAAATACCGCTGCGAATGTGTTGAGGCAGCTCTGTCGCTGTATGAAATGATCGGGATCATTCCAGGGCGAGCGAGCCGTCTCATGATCCTTGTAACCCTTGCGCTGTGTCACTTTGATCGGCGGTTTTCTGGTCACGTGCGAGACCAGCAGGTTCATTAGGATATCCTCGCAGTTGGAGGACTGCTGTACAGTCTTTAATAACAGCAACGACAGCCAATTGGTGTACAAGTAGTTGTAGTAGCGATGATAGAACGCCGCACCCGTCAGTACAATCGAATAGTAGTTCGTCCACTTGGACGTATAGCCCCAGGCATTCTGCAAATTCCCAAATCCAATTTGATTATTGAAAAAAATGCAATCGCTATCAAACGTGCTCACCTTGGAGTCATCCCAGAAATGTGCTCGAGCCGGATAGCCCACAATGCGTTCCGGAAAGTCACGCCAGACCGTGTAGGCAAAGTCCAGTTCATCCGTGTTGAGTATTGCATCCTCGTCGAGCGAGAGCACAGCATCCGTTTGTATTTCCTCGTAGGGCAGAAATCGCTGCGATATGCTCGGTCGTGCCTCCGGCCCTGTTTGCCCCGTGGGCGACGCTGCCGCCCCTCGACTACTGCCACCCAGGGCAATCACGTGCAGAGGTATGTGATAGGTGGGCGGCCAACGTTTCTTAAGTGGAAGCGGCCGATCGGCAGCCCACAGGATAAGTATCTAGTGGTGAGCAAGTAAATGAAGTGATTAACGAGTGGTAATTAATATTTGAGATAAAACAGGAGCCAACAATTTACTTTAACTTTTAAATAACAGCGCAATATCGATAGCTCGATTTACTTTTAACAGTGCTAGCGCTGTTAATTTGATTCATTTATTCAATTTAAATTCGTGATGAAATCATCGATAAGTATAATTTGAATTAGCTCTGTAAGCTGCAGATCAAGCGATAGCAATGATAGCAGCTATCGATGAAACAATTTACAGTTCACTCATCTCTATGCGCTCCACTTGAGTTCGGTTTGAAGTCTTCCATTATGTTGCGTGTTACTATGTTGATACTTACTCTATCCACAAATTGGCTCTTCGTAATGGTCCTGACTAGTTTGTAGAGCGCCGCATTGGGGCCGAGGGCGGCGCCAATTTGCACATAGATAACGGCCGTGTAGTTGTGACGCGGCTCCACGCCCATCGCATTCAACAGAAAGGGCATAAATCTGAAACGGGAAAGGCAATTAGGTTAATGGCAAAACACTTCAATGCCCGTTCCCCTTCCCGTCTTGCTCTACGACCCTTTGCCCCGAAATGGTTGAGGGAATGTAAATTTAATTAGGCACACTTTGCCGGCCCAACGCAATGGCCACCGCCATCAGCTCACAGCATCGTTGGCATCTTACCTCGAACTATCGGCGAATGTGGGCAGCGTGAGGAGGGCGCCGGGCGCCGAGTTCCAGACGAGGCTGCTGCGCACCGGATAATCGGGAAGTCGTTCGCGAATGATCTGCAAAGAGGCACAGAAAATAAAGCGGGAAATTCAAACGGTTGTTTAATGGCCAAAAAGAACTCAAGTGGCAAGCCGATTGCCGATTGCCAATTGCCAATTGATTGCTTAATGAACGGTTCTGCTCATCAATTGGCATCCAAATTGCGTTTTCAATGCCACTCGACGCTAGCCGCTTAAGCTGTCAGTCAGTCTGTCAGTTTGTCAGTTTGTCAGTCGGTGCGCCGTGTCAGTCGTAATGCCAGTCCGTCCATTCGTCTGGGATTTTGTGTGCATTAATTCAAAGGCCGCCGCCCAAGCTGTTGCCTAATTTTCCGCTTGACGCAGCTGCCAGGCAGTCTCCCAGCGGAGCCGCTGGCCGCAGCATCCGTTGCGCAGAGCACAGGAAGCTCAGCTAACCCACCAAAGCCCCATTTTACACCACACAAGTGTTAGACAAAGCAGCAGCTGGCTATTGGTTGGGTCTGTGCGGGAGTTAGTCTGGGTTGGGAAGTGTTGTGTGTGCTGGCAGCATTAACGCCCATTAATTTGTCGCTCAAAGTGAAAATTATGTATATAACGCCTAAAAGTATGCCATGCTAAATTAGTCCTACAAATCTCTGAGCAACAGAGAGAGTGAGAGAGAGAGTGAGAGCGAGAGAGAAAGTAAGAGTTAGAGTGAGAGCGAACAAGTTGCGAAATGCTGGCCGAGCTCAGTATTTAGTTAGGTTGGCCATGTGCCACTATAATTGCTAGTCCCGACTTGGACCAACAGCGAGTTACGAGTGCGACGTGCACGCCATGACGAGCTGCACCTGCTGAAGCTCGAAGGTAAAAGGAAATGCAGTTTGCAGTTGCGGAAAATCACAATATTCTGGCACGCGCCACTCTCCCTCTGTGTGTGCTTGTGTGGGGCAGGAAAATGCGGATAAAACATATTTGAACGGAAGAAAGGTTGCGCTTAAATGTCGAGGATTTGGAACGCAGTCTAAATAACAGATGCGCTACTATGGATAATTGATAAAGGAATTAAATGTATATATAATATACATATACATATTAAGGTATATATATATTATATAAGGTATATTAAAATCTTTGATAAAGACATTCAGTTTGTATTATTTTAATAATATATTTTTTTATATTATTATTATTATTATTTTTTTTTTTTTTTATTAATAATGCTAATTGAAGTCATACGAGGTACGCCAGTAATATCTTATATTATATATATATATTATAAAAATAAGATAGGACTGCAATAATAATTAATAATTTCCCGGTTACCTATATCCAACAATAGTTTCTTGGAAACATTCGATTTAATATTGGCATCAAAGCTTCGTAATTTATGCAAATCGTAAAGCCTTAAAGTCAACATATTTTTGCCTAAAGTCCTAATGAGATATTTAACAGAAGCTGTCAAGTCTAGCAGCAAAATTAACATAAAAAGCCGATACTCAAACCATTTAACAGCCGATGACAAGACGAATTTCTCGCCCCAGCCCAAGGCGATTGTTGAAATGTTAAATGTAAAAATGATGATAATTAGAATTTTGCTCTGCATGCCATGAGCGTGTGTCCTCGTCAGGTGTACAACTTCGGCTCTTATGGAGTGCCTGCTCATTAGGACACGTTATGGGCCAACTTCTCACTGCAGTCGCTCCTGCACGCGTCTCAAGTGCCTGTTTTATTTAGTAATTATAATTTCTGCACTATTCTGTCTCTCGCTCCATCTTCGCTTCTTTCTTCTCTTTCGCATTTATTCTGGGCTTTGTTTAAGTTTTATCTCGTTGCTTGGCATAATCAGAGGCAGCGAGCTGAGTTAGTCGCCTAAAAGTCTGCGAGGCGCGTGTTTGTTTACCTTTTCAGCTCGAGTGGGGGAGCGTAGTGCATGTGTGAGGCCGGTGTGTGTGTGTGCGTGTGTGTGTATGGCTGACATAATTAAGTCAATCTGGCCGCTGTTGACGTTGCAGCATAATTGAGAGCGACTGAGAGCAAGCAAACAGGCAACAGAGAGCGAGCAGCGAGGCCAGCAGGTGCATAGCTCGACTTGACTCGACTCGACTCCACTTGCAGCGACTCGACTCGTTTTGTCTATGATTCAATTATGCAATGTGCATATATGCGCAGGCTTAGGCTCCCATGCCTGCGTCGGTTGGGGTCCTGCCAGGTCAGGCAGCCCATACAGCAAATGTTGGCGTGCCATTTTAATTGGCTAACAAAGTGCTTTAATTGGCTTTAAGCTCGCTGACTTTTGGTAGACTCGACGAATTTTCCATCATTACAGAAATGGCGGAGGGGGGCAGGAAAAAAAGCAAGAAGTTTGCAGCCAACTCGTTTCCTTACACATGTCAAGCAACTTAACTCCTGCTCCTGCCACGGCTGCTCCTGCTGCAACTTGGGAAACGTTTGCTCGAGTGGCAGCGCGTCGACTTCAATTTTTCCAGCATTTTGTTTTTTATTTTTAATTTTTCTTTATTATGCTGCAACTACTTAAGCAACTGAGCGACAGTTTTTGGCCAGCAGGCACAGTCAGCAGGCGCCCTCACCAGACGACTGTCTGATTAAGCCCGTGTGGCAGCAGCAGGAGGCATCTCGTTGGGGCCGAGTGGGCGGAGCCAGCAGCCTGGGCGCAAGAACTCAATAGAGCGCATAATGTGTGCAAATAAAACAGGTGAATGCATTTTGGGCATGGGCCGTTGCCATGGGCGTGGCAGCAGCTTATGCAAATACACATACGCACACACACACACACACAGAGAGAGAGATACTCAAATACATGTTTAACAGTAGCTGTTGCTATAAGGCTGGCTCATCCCTTTTAGCCAAGTAAATTTCATTTGAGCCAGCCTTAAAAGCAGGCCATAGAAATTTACAAACTCTGCATGCTAAGCTAAGAGAAAATTTACTTAAATTAATTGCACACGTGCATACATATATACATGTACACATACATAGCTGATGAAGTTTTGGCCCTAAAAGATTTTGTTTATTTTATGTCTATGCCAATGAATTTAACTAAAGCTGATTAGAGTAAAACTTAATAAATCATTTAAAGCTACATGCAAAATTAAGTTTAAAAAATATTATAAAATATATACAATTTATAATTATTATTTTTATTTTATTTTATTTATTAATAATTATCATTTTATTTTTATTATTTTATTTATATTTTATTTATTTTACTATTTTATTTTATTTTACTATTTTATTATTTTTTTATTTCTATTTCTAATAATTAATTAATAATAACCAACGCTGAATAAAACTGTATATAAAATATATAATATTTATAATTATTACATTTTATTTATATATATTTTTTATATTTATTAATTTGTATTATTTATTTATTATTTATTATTTGGTATTATTTTTTATCAATATTATTTTACTTTTGTTTTATTAGTTGAAGTTGAATAGAACAAAATTTTATTTAATAAAAAATATCTTTCTCATAAACACGACTTGAGTAGCAATAATTGAGTAGTCGACAATGATGTGTAAAAACTAAAGTTTGTTGGGTTATAAGAAATTATAAAACGAAGTCTAAGGCAATGTAAATCGACTTTAAGACTTACAAAATGTTAAGTTGCTGTTAATTAATTTGGCCTTGCTTAAAGTAAACAATGTTTAAATATAATCAATGATTGCTGACTTTTGTAAATGAGAAAAACTGCCCA